GATTGGCTGGACAGAGACGGCCTCACGGGGCCACCCCAAAGCCCTTCTAGCCTGTGACTCAGGAGCCAAAGGGCACCCCTCCCGACCTTCTGGCACCGCTCACTCTCCTTTTCTTCTGGGACCGCTCACCCTTCCTAAGCCTGTTCCCTCAGGGCTGACCCTCAAATTACATGCTTACTGCGTGCCTGGCACTGTGTTTCGGGCTGTATATATTTTATTTAAAATCCCATCAATCCTATAAGATAGGTATTGATCCCCATTTTACAAGTGGGAAAACTGAGGCTTAAACAGCTGACATCACCTGCCCAAGACCACGTGACTAGCAAGTAGTGGGGTAGGGAGTCACATCCGGGCCGTGGAGCCCCTCCTCCCTGGACTGCCTTGTTCCCGTGAAGGGAATTTTAGGATCTGCCAGTAGAGGGGGAGAGGGGCTCAGTTAAGCTTTGAGGGCAGGAGACAGTCCCTTGCTCAAGTCCAGCCTGAAAGCTCCTCACGCAGGCCACCTGCTTTGTTGGAGCTGCCCAAGGGCAGGGGTTGAACCTGGAGCCCCCATACCAGTGGCGAAGGCTTAGGCATGGGGGATGGCTCCTGGCCCTTGGGAGTCTAACTGCCTCGCTGTCCTCACCTGGGGCCACAGTCTGAGGCCCCAGTAGGACAGGTCCCCAGGCAAGCAACAGCTTCTGCCTTGAACGCATGAGGGAGTGGTGAGCAGGCATCAGAGACGCCTGGAGGGTTCACACGGCCCACTCAGCTGGATGGGATATTTATGAGTTTAGGAGCCACGGAGCGTGACCACAGGCCTCGGGAGCTTCCCACTCCAAACTACAGGGGGACCAAGAAGCCAGAGGTGGGGTGAGGGGGGATCATCAGCTCCTTTGAGACCATCACAGCGACATTCCAGCCTCTGGGATGGAGGTGACCATCGTGGTCAGAAGAGAGGTTCTGCCCACATTGTTTCATCCAATTTACCTCCCATTTTCCCAGCATGCCTGGCACACACACCTCTGGGACTCCAGGTCCCACCCCCAATCCCACCTGTTGATCCCCCACCCAATCATCAATGCCCAGTGTAAATGCCGTCTCCTCCAGGCAGCCCATCCTGATCTGATCCCTCAGACCTGGTCCTTCTCTCCCTCTTCTGAGACCGCTGGAGCTGTGTAGGCCTCTCCTGCGGCACTGAAGTCACTCTCCTTTGCATCGTAATTGTTTCTGGGCTTCTCTGACAAGCAGCCCGAAGGTAGGGCGGGCACCATAGCTCTAAGTGTGGGTCCTCATACATACAAGGTGTGAGACTCATTAGATGGAAGGAAGGGACGAGGGAGGGAGAGAGGATGGAGAGGTAAACAGATGAACGAATGAGTGGGTTGAAGGGTGGATGGCCACAGAAAGTTCAGCATGGTCCCCGTAATTGGCCCAAACACCCAGACTCCCCCACGGCTCCTGGGAATAAGATGTCCCTGTTTGGCTTGACTGGTCCCCTCCCCTGACTTCATGAATTTAAGATATAGAAAGACTGTACTGTGAGGAAGCTGGAGTCAGATCTGGGTCCCTTCCCCTCGCCGGACCCCAGTCCCCCCATATATAAGATGAGGATGTTGGACTACATGGTTCCTTGGGCCCTTTCGGCTCAAAACACCTGTCTGTGCTGGGACCCAGCAGAGAACAGGGGAAACCGGTTAAACCCAGTTCGGCTTAGAGGAAACTCCAGAAGAGTCTAGACGAAAGATGAAGAAGAAAAAAAGGGAGGCTGGAGAAAGGGAGGGAGAGAGAGAAAGAAAATCCATTTCCACGTCCAAAATGAAAACTGCATTTAGCACAGATTTCCCAAATGCATAATTTCTTTAAAAAAAAAAAAAAGTTAATCTCAACATATTGAATTTAAGATCGCAGCCTCTAAGAAGTGATGGATCTTCTAATATAATAGAAATGCTGGAGGCGGGGATGCCCTTGGGGGGAAGATGCAGAAATGGAGGAGCTGGGAGGGATGGGGGGGGTGCGGGTTGTAGAGGGGGCCACTTTCACTCCACCCCTCTCCACTTTGGCCAGACCACCCCCTCTAGTATCTGCTTTCTCTATGGATCTTATGACCCCAATAGGTTGTTTGAATAAGAGACTTCTGGTGAGTTCTCTTTAAAGCCGTTAGTTATTAGTTAAGTAACTAGTGAAGGCAAACAAGAGGCCCCGAGGGAGGTGATTTGCCCAAGGTCATACAGCGGGTTCATGGGCACAATCACCCTGGGACTGGCTAATAGAATGCCTTGGTGCAGATATAATGAATCCAAGCACATCCAAGCACATCCGCAGGGGGCCAGAGGAAGGGGGGCTGCCCCTGACTGGGCAGCTTGGACGCCTATTATCCGGCTCACTTCCAGCAGCCTCTGTGGGACGTCATCAGGCTCCTTTAAACAGCATTCCACTCGGACAGGAACAGACGGATAACTCAGGCCCAATTAGGAACCAGAAAATCTTGCAGAGGGCGAATGCCCAGGACAGGGGGGCTCCGGGCAGTGGCCCAGCTCTCCACAAGCCTCACAGTCGAAAACCTTCCTAAAACAACCCCTTGGCTGCCTCCGAGCATAATTTAATCTTCCTTTGATGACTCCGGATCTCACCCTGCCTGGGGCCACTCAGAACATCAATTACTGCTGGGCCCAGGTGGGGAGCAGAGAGGAGGGGCCGGACCTGGGTTACCAGCTGACCCTGCCCTGGGGTGGGGGTTGGGGAGAGACCCAGGAGACTTCACGGGGAGGAGCCCAGCCGGAGCTGGGGAGCTGGATGCTGCCTTGCTGGAGAAGGGGGCCCAGGAGGAGAATGGGAAGTCCCTCCCCAACCAGAAAGGGGAGCCCCAGGTGGGCCCTCCCCTCCCCTCCCCTTCCTCCCACCCAGAGCAGGTGGGATGGGGCAGGTCCCAGGGATCTCCAGAGGGAGAGGTACCGAGGTGAGCTAGTGGCAGGCAGAAGTGCTATCAAAGGCCAGGCTGGGTGACTTTGCTACGGGGAAGGCAGGACGGTGCCCCTAGAAAATGTTGGCTTCGAGGGACAGGAGTGAGCTCAGGGACACGCTGCCCCTGCCCTGCCACTTCGTGGCTGGAGGACCATGGGCAAGTTACTTAACCTCTCTGTGCCTCATTTCCTAATTTATAACGCTGGGATAGTAACAGGCTGCTGTGAGGGTGAAACAAGCCTTGTGCTGGTTGCTAGAAAACGGGGACCTAGAACACAGCCCCCGATGAGGGCCAGGTGGGGGGAAGCACACGATGGCACGCTCCCGGAGCTGGCTCTTCCATGAGACTGGATGCGTCTTCTCTTTGGCTTGTTTGTATTTTCTGTATATTATGTATGAAACACATTATTATACAATTAAAATAATATTCAGAGTAAAAAATAAAACAATAAAGACTGAGATCTGTCCCCAAAGGGAAGCAGCCGGTTGGAAGAGGAGCCCGGCCATTGAGAGTGAGCCAGAAGGGGGCTGTTCCCTGGGGCTGAGACTCAGACAGGGGAGCCCTGGCCGCCCCAGGTGCCCAGGGGGCGACAGCCCTGTGCCCTCCAGGACAGGTGCAGGTAACATTTTCTGCCTGGGCGTGCCCCATCATTTCCTGGGAGGCAAGTCTCCAGGCCCCATCTCAGGAGTTACTAGGCAAGGGAGGTGGGTGCCCTGGAGAATGTTGTCTGTTCTCGGCTCCGGGTCCTCAGAGCGTCCACTCGGAGATGACTCTGGACCCTCAGGACTCAGCCAGACCCCCGCCCAGACTCCTCAGTGGGCCAGCCCGAATCACCAACGCTTCCGGTAACCCCAGCCTTGGCAGAGGCAGCAAAGGTTTTCCGTTTGGGGAAAGCTGGGCTTGATGGGTCCACAGCTCTCTCTCCCTGGCGGAGTTTAATCCTCAAAAGGAAGTCAAACATTAGCCCGGGAAACGGCTTAGGCCTTATGTAAGCCCCCCTGGGGTAGGCACAAACACAGCTTGCTGGAGCAGAGCTGCCCAGCTACAGCAGCTTCTGGACCTCGGAACAGAGCAAGGGCTCCCGTCACCTCGGCCGCCAGACCCACTGGAGGGAGCTCAGCTCAGCCACCAGGTGAGAAGGGATGGCGGTGCCCCCGGACCCCTGCTCCTAAGCACCCCTGGGAAACTCCCAAGGCCGGGCCCTGCTTCCTCACTGCAACTGGCCAAAACCCTTCCACCCTCCGGGACCTACCTGGGCCCCTTCTGCTACTCCAGTATCGTGGGCCTAACCCCAGGCGACCGCCACCGAGAACCAGGAGGCTTTGGGCTTGGGGAGGACTTTCCGGGCAAACAACCTGAGCCAACCCTACATGTCTGCTCAGGATAACCAGGGACCTCTCCTACCCAGCCCCACCACTCATCCTGTGTGATAAATGTCCAAGACCGGGCCCCTTGGTCCCAGCTGTGTGACCTGTACTGCTGCATGCTGTGTGACCAGCCTGGCTGCGCACACGGGTGCCCACAAGTACACGCACGCACACGCGTGCGCGCGCGCATACACACACACACACACACACACACACACAGAAGTTCACACAGCTGTGCCCTTATGCTCCAGCCTAAGTATACACACCCCTATAAGACCCCCTGTGGACGCACACCTGTGGCCCCACACCTGTAGCCCCCCATCTGTCTGTGCAGTCAGATACATCCTCGTTCAGCCACACGTAAATCTGTGGATATGTGTAGCTGAGCCCCGCATCCTCACGCATTCACACACACAACGTTCCACACACTTGTGCCCCCACATACACCTAGTCACACCCTCCCACTCGCGTTCCCACACCCATCCACATGCCCACTCATCGCTCCCGCGCACACATGCCTCTCCCCGGCCCGGTGCCTTGCCCGCAGCTCTAGCTCATCTTGCCTGGCGCCATGACCTTCTCCAAACTCATGGACGGCGTGGTCAGCAAGGGCCCCTTCCAGTTCATCATCATGGCCTTGCTGGGCATCCCAATCCTCGGCATGGCCAACCACAACCTGCTGCAGATCTTCACAGCTGCCACCCCCTCCTACCACTGTCGCCCGCCCCCCAACGCCTCCGCGGGGCTCTGGGTGCTCCCCACGGGCCTGAATGGGAAGCCTGAGCTGTGCCTCCGTTTCGTGTACCCACCCAACGCCAGCCTGCCCAACGACACCCACAGGGCCACTGAGCCATGCTTAGATGGCTGGGTCTACAACGTCAGCACCGAGAGCTCCATTGTGACCGAGGTATGCCCAGAGGCGACCCCGCTCCCCTACTTCCAGCAGGCCCCCCACACCCTGCAGCTCTCATGGACAGAGAGCAGGCTGGGGCTCAGTCTCCCTAGGACCCGAGGAAGGGGCGCTAGGCAGGCAGAGAGCAGGGACCTGGGTGCAGATGCGCACCAGCCAAAAGGTTTGATCCCTTCAACAAGCAGCCCTTCCTGTGACCGGCACAGTGCTAAGCTCTGGGGATACAAAAACGCACTGTCCCTGATCCACAGCCAGGTGGGGAGTCACATCAGCTAACGAAAGTACCATGCAAAGGAATGTAAAATGACCACCTCAAAGTATTTTGGGCTGTGACCTTAGACAATGGCCTGCCCCCGGGCTGGGTGTGGGGGAAGCAGGGGCAGCATTGGAGGAAGCTTCCATAAAGTGACCGTGGAGGTGAGATCCGGTGTCCAGCCAGAGTTAGCCCGGCCAGGCGGGAAAGGAAGAAAATTCCACCTTGTTTGTGCAAAGGCCCTAAGGTGGGAGGTGAGTGGACAGAGGGGAAGGTTGAAACGTGCCTCAGCGGACGCGAGAAAGGTCTCATCCGCTCCCCCGGTCACTCCTGGGGTCACCTCCAATTCATTTATGCCTTCATGTATCCCTTGATTCTTCCACCTGCCATCTCCAGGAGTTACAGAGTGACAGGCCAGTCAGGAGACCGTGATAGGATGGAATGGGAACTGGCATTTATTGAGAATCTGCAAACTGCCGGGCGCATTTCGGTGCTTTGTAGACATTGTCTCCCGGTTTGATTCCCGCAGTGAGAGTCTGTTGAAGGTGATTATATCTCCTTTTTCAGATAAAAAAAAAAAAAAAGCTAAGACCCAGAGAAGGGAAGATCTAGTGCCATACAGCTGGTCAGTTTCAGAACCGGAACTTAAAGCTGAAGTCCATAAGAGGGACAGGGGGACCAGTGTTTATGGCAGTTCAAAGAGGGAGGAGCCGTAGGATGCTAGGCAGGCTTCCTGGAGGAGGTGGCGTCTGAGCAGTGAGCAGAGGTCAGTGTTTTTATTCTCCCCCAGGGGACCATGAGCTGCTCAGGGCAGGAACATTTGCCTCATTAGAAGAGTCTCGAAGTTTTTACCCGGTGCCAGTCCTGAGCTGGGCTCCTGGAATCTCAGGAGATGGCTCCTCAGCGACGGAAGTTTTATTAGTCTCTCCAGTTCACAGATGAGGAAACTCAGGCTCAGCCTGACTCCAAGACTTGCCCAGGATTACACACAGTTAGGACCTGGCAGCGGTAGGATCTGAATCTGGGTCCCCTACGTTCAGTCTATATGATTGTTTTTCATTGGTTTAATGAATATTTATGAAACATAAAGCAGTTACTATGTGCCAGGCGCTGTTCTAAGTGTCTTATAAATGTTAACACTTTCAACTTTCCTGACAACACTATAAGATAGTTAGTATTATAAGCCCATTTTTCAGGTGGGGAAACAAAGCACAAAGAAGCAAGGTTGCACCCCTAGTAAGTGGCAGATTCAGGATGTGAAGGCAGGCACCTGGCCCCAGAGCCATAGTCCTAACTGTGACGGTCGCTGACTCTAATGTCCCCAAGATTCTATTTCCTCCCTGCCATGTGTGCTTTTTCTTCTCGGCACCAAGCATAGTGCCTGAAATGTATCCCGTAGCCAACAAACATTGCTTGATGGCTACATGTGTAATCTTGAGGATGCAGAGTCACAGAACACCTGAGCCTTGCCTGCCCTCCAGAAGCTCACCTCTAATGAGGAGTCAGGCTCAGCCCTTACGGATTACCACCAGCGGAGTGGGACGTGCCAGCTTCCTGGGGCAGGGATTGTCAGCTGTTTTGCTGTATCCCCAGCAGCTAGAGCAGTGCCTGGCACAGAGGAGGTGCTCTGTGAAATAAATATTTGTGGAATGAATGGATGTGAGCTTTATAAACTCAGAGTGCTCTTGAAGCCCAGAGGTGGGGCATCTAACCAGCCTGGAGGGGGCACCCAGGAGGGTCTGCTGGAGTCAGCAATGCCTGCACTGAGTGTGAAAGGGAGGTGAGAGTTAGCCAGCAGGCTGGGGGTGGGGGGTGGGCAAAAGGGACAGTGCGTGTGGGGTCAAATGCACAGTCACAGGAGCATGAAGACAGCAAAACAGTCAGGCTCGCAGGAGAACAAGGAAGGCTGGAGGGACAGGCAGTGGGGTGTGGAGGCCTCTGGCCAGCGGCCGGACAGGACGAGAGCACCTGACATGGATGCTAAGGCGAGGTGTGGTCTTTGTCCCAAGGCGGCGGGGACCATTGAATGGCGTTGAGCAGGAGAGTGGCACTTTTCGATCTTCCTAAGGACGGTCCCTGACTGCAGGGTGGAGAGTGCCTTGTGGGGCTTTAGTCCAGCATCGGGGAGATGAGGTAGCGGGTTGCCACAGGTCTCCAGGACAAAGGCGACAGATGGAAAGGGGAGTAGCTACCGGAGAGGTTAGGGAGCTGGAATGTGTGGAACCTGGGAACTGAATGGGTTTCGGGGGTAAGGAGCAGGGATGGAGCTGGAGATGCCCCACTGACTAGGAACAAGTTTCCTAATGCTTGGGTGACTTGCTGTACATCTAATCCCTGGGGAGACAGACAGGAAGGAGTAAAAGCCACTGTCCCTGTCCCCCAGAAACACAGAACCTAGCCAAAGGAACAAAAAACCCGAAGCGACTGTTTAATTGCTTAAAAAATAAGCAGTTGAATAACCATGACTACCGCTACCTCGTGTGTGCGTACCCTGTGCCAGAGACAGAGACCCCTCAGAACTCTGAACATCTTAACTCATTCGTTCTCACAACAACCCTCTGCGGTTAGCCCTTGCTGTATTATTCTAGTTTTACAGACAAGGAAACCCAGGGACAGGCCCCTGGTCCAAGACACCGCCACATTTCGTCAATGGTGGCGGTGGGAGTCAAACCCAGGCAGCCAGGCTTCAGAGCCGCCCACCCCCTCCCCCTGCTCCTTAAGACTGCACGACCCCGACCCCATGATCCGAGGGAATTCAGCTGTCACAGCAGTCCCTGGCTCACCCAGGCCCCACAGCCTCTCCTCACTCAGAGGCCCCCACCTAGCCGTCCACCCCTAGAAACAGCACAGGCCTGAGCCTGAGGGCAAGTCCCAGCTCCACCCCAGAGCTGGGACCCGGTGAGTCATTCCCCTCCCCACTTCAGTCCCCAGATTTGTAGAAAGAGATAGTAAGGAACTCCCCCAGGAAAGGATGGGTGAGGGTGGGAGTGAGCACAGCATCAGGAGTCTCCCTGCCCCCTCTGATCCCCTAAGCCCTCCTGGCAGAGGTGGCC